AATGGAAAAAAAATCGAGATTTATTTTCACAATGGGCAACCCTACCCTTAATCTTACGAAATACCAAACTGAGACAATTGTGGGATGGGAAAAAAACTCCAAAAAACTATGAAGTCTGCTAGTATCTACAAGTTTAAAACCAAAAGATATATGGCAATGTATTTCTCCACTGCCAACTTAGTGTTACTCACCTGTCCTTGATTCTGCAGAAAACGGTATTAGCAAAAGCATACTGATAATCCATATTTTCCATTTACTTCTACTGATAGTCCTTGCTTAATGACTATAATGGTGAATAGAATTTCGATCCCTAAGCAAAGCAGTCATCACGTGACTGCACTGATTAGCAATCACAGTCCCAGTAGTCCTGCTTGCGGTCATTAGGAAAAAAAAACATGCCATCGTTAGATGGGAAACTCACACTTCTTTGGTCAGCTCCATCTCACTGCCTCTTCCTGGGGGAGGAGGCCAGGAAGAGATGGGGCTCCACTGCCCTGCTGCACTCACTTCCACTTCAGCTCTCCTACCCATGTATCTGCCCATCTCTACCCTTTTGGCTGCCCTCCACCCCTCTGCCACCTCCAGCTGCCCCCTTGCAGTCTTCTTCCTTCTGCTGCTGAGGAGTGCCCAGCCCAGGCAGTTACTGACCTTTCACAAGGCCTCTGTGAAGTGTCATGGACGCATCACAAAGGCCTCATGAAGCTTTGTGGAGGCCTTGCAGAGGCCTTTCAAGATATTGTGGTCATGAAGTTTTGCAAACGGCCAGCAACTGCCTTGGTTGGGTGTGCCTCATCAGCAGCATAAGGTAGAAGGCAGTAATGGTCAGCTGGGGGTGGCAGGGGTAGGTGGCAGTAGAATGCAGGGTGGCCAAAAATGGGGGGAAAAGTTAGGTGGACAGAGTTGAAGTACACATTGAGACCGTGAATGTGAGTTGCCAGCTTGTTTTTTCCCCAAACATGATCCTCACAGATTTCTCTTTAGCAAGATGACAGGAATAGAGAGATAAAATCTCTAGCAAGTGAACAATTCTCAATAGCCCTTTGAGAACTGAGCAACATATAAATTGCAGAAACAAAGTTTAGAGCCACTACTGTTAGGATATGAGAGGGTGGAGATGTCTTGAGTCTTCTTCTCACATGTACCAGCAAGGAGATGGTATTCTGCACTTATTATGAGAAATCTGCAGTTGGCTGTTTACACAATGGCTGCTTGAATCGTTATCTCTCCTAGAACTTATTTTTTCCTGGAGCATATTTTCAATGAGAAAGTTTGTTTGTTTGTTTTCTTGGCTTTTCCTGTTTTACTTATATATTGCAATGTTAACATAGCTATTTAGGTTGCACCTGGGTCCTTGCTGTTCTGATTATTTGTATTAGGACCTTTTAATGTTGGCACCTCCAAAGTAAGAAGTATTTTATCAGTTGATCAGAGAAGTAAGACTAACCGGAAACTGAAGGGAACAATTACGTGCAGTTGTTGTTTACAGTCAGAAACACACCAAAAAGCAAAGATTACTTCACATTGCTATTTACTTTGAAAGAAGATACGGTACACATATGTACACATTATACTTAGAAATCAGAGTATCTCTCCTCTAACTCTGTCCCAATTAACCTAGTAATGTTTTCTTGTAAGATGCTTTTGTATCTTTGGTTAAGAAACACTACAAATAAATTCATCTAAATTGCTACCTACTTGCTCTTGTGATATGACCTTGTTCCAGCTCAAATATCCTACATTAATATACCTTTATTTTACAACAGAATCACAATGTTAACTTAAAATGAAGCTTACTTTTACAAATCTTAGTTGCATGCCTAAAAGTAGTACCACCTTGTTTTCAACATAACTCTGCTGGATATAGAAATATAAATCACACTAAAGGAAGTAACAACCAAGTAAAAAGGAGGTCAAAGTAAGGAGAGAAGGGGGGGGGGGAATCACCTTGGTTATTTTGTTCTCAAGCCCGGCCTCGACATTGCTGCAAACTTATGCATTTTTAAAAGACTGCAGGCATTCAAATGACTGTCACTCATGCAAATAATCACTTACTTACACTGTATGAGTTTGGTTTGGACAAAGCAAATTACCATTTGAAAATAACTTGAAAAACACTCTGGGCAAAAAGCTTGCTTTATGAATCTAAGTTTGGCCCTGATATTTCTTAACCTTTTTCTCTCCACTTCTATTCAGCTTGCTTTTACTAGAGTAACACAGACTAAATTAATAAACTGCATTCAATTGCCATAGGTGCATTCAACATTTATTTAACAGAAGATCTTATTAGAAAAATAAATAGCGGCAACTGTAACTAAAAACTGAAACTAAAATGCATAACTTTATGTATGGATTGCTCTGTTAGTGTTTATTACAAGCAGTAAATAGTTTGTGTTTTTTAAATATATATTTTAACAATACAATATATAAAATACATCAGAAAGTATGCCACAATTAATTTTCAAACTTATTGAATGAAAGCTTGTTCAAAATATATGTTTAAGAAATTAAATTTGTTTTTTGAAACACAGTATTCAGAGTATTGTACAATGCCTATAATTAAAAAAAAAAACTGTCGTGTATTTAACCAGGCCAATCTCTATGTACTTTCTTTTTAAATATTCTGCATATATAAATATCAACAATTCTCTAATGTAGCTGCTAAAAACCCTTATCTTTTTGTATATTCAAAATTATATGAAGATGACGAATGGGACTTCGTCAAAACATCGCCAAGACACTTCCAATTTGACGCGGGAGAAAACCTGAATAACCAAAGACCTACAAAATTATATAAGAATATATAGCAAATTAACTCACCATACTTCCAACATAGTCATTTCCAAACTAGTAACTAGTACATTAAAATATGACTGTCAGATTATTGAGTCAACAAACCAAATATTTGTTTATGCATTCTTCCACTAAAATGGATGTCCTTTTATTCAAATAAATTGTCTGGATAGTTTACTATAATAGTAGAAAGCATACATAAAAAAAACAGCACAAAAAAGGTTTTTAAAACAGTGAATATAGAAAAGCAGTATGCAAATTATACATGATCCAGAATATAACAAATGACTCATTTTTAAAGATTATAATAATAAAAATATTGCTGCAAGTATCAGAGAAGACATGAAAGTAGTTGGCAGAGGAAGATGTGGGCATATTGATAAAAGATGGGTTTTTCCTTCTCCAGGGATCGCCTACTGTTTCACATGATGGGGTGCATGGAAAAAAATGACCTCAAAATACAGATAGATGTGAGTTGGAGGCGTGAAGTAATCCTTAAGGTTGTGCAGTTCTCCCTTCCACTAGCATTCCACAAAGGAACTGTTCAGTATCATTAGATAAGGTATTAATTACATAATTTGACATTCCTAACACTGTGTCCTTGTATCTCCTGATTCTGGAAAGGTTTTTCCCCTCATATTCTGTTGGAAGTGATTTTTCAACCCTGGATCTGAAAAGTCTGTCTCCTAGGCCTCCAATTCTTACCTTACATTCATTCATTCACTCATTCATTCATTCTCTCTCTCTCTCTCTCTCTCACTCACTCACTCACACACACACACACACACACATACACACACATATATACATGAGCAACATTGGCAAAGTAGGAATACATACTTGCATACATACCTATGATACTATGCCTTTTGAGAAATCAATGTTTGATGCAAAGGACCAAAAGATCTCAAGAATTAATAAGTAAAAAAAATTAAACATATACAATGATGGGGGAAAAAAAGAAATATGACCAAACTTAATTTACATAGATATCATTCAGTATAACTTTTAATACTTTTTGATCTCTGTATCCTATCTTTGCTTCCATAAACTGCTCATGTCTCTCTTTTTGAGAATCCTACTAACTCTATTCAACCAATTGTCTAGTTCATTTCCTTCTTCTCCCTTAATTCACTCTTCTTTCATATATTTTTTCTATATTTATTCTCTCTATATATGACCAATCTGCCTTATTGCATTTTTTTTACTAGTCAACCAATGAATCAGCTTTCATTGCTACCCAGTTATTCCTGGCCTTATTTCTTCCTTCCCTGAACATTTCTCAAGTAATCCTTTCCAAATCCATTCAATTCCCTTTATAGTTCTCCTTTTATATCTCACTTTCAGCTACATGTAACTAAGTAAACAAAAGCAGCTTTTATAAGCAACCAATTTTGCTTGTTTTGATATTCATTCTCAGAATAGATCACCTAATATCTGTTACTTTTCTACTAGCATTTGAACCTTTTAAAATTTCTGCATCCATTTCTCTGTCCTTTGTAAATATATTTTCTACCGAGATAAACTAATTCTTTTACTTACTCGATTTGTCGATATATTATTTTTAACCCATTGCATTATTATATGTAGCCTATTTAACATCCAATATTCAAATTCTCAGCTAACACATGACATCGTTTGTGCTCAGAAATACATATACATTCATGTATCTAATCAACGTATTTCAATATCACCATAAGCTTTCCTTAAACATTTGGCTATACATACATTAAACAATGAAAGGTCATTTTTTTTAGTCTCTCATCAATGTAAACATTTAGTAAGCATTCCATTTATATCCATGCATGCTTTACTTTCTCCATTTATCATTCATACAGTATTCAGCAAACAACATTCTTCACACAAACTTTCCATAAATTAAGCCTATTCACTTACCATATGCTTTCTCTAAATCAATATATATATAAAAAAACATGTATTCTAATACATTTTTTTCCCACAGAGAACTTGTAATTTTTCTTCTAGCTGTCTTTCTATTTTCGCTCTAATTTCTTTCCTTTTTCTCCATCTCTATGACTGCTTCCTTACAAATTACCCTGGCTTAATACTTTTTGTGCTCTAGAGTTTCTCAGCTGTGTCTCGAAAAATATTTTGGCATGAAATATATTCCTTTGGTTACCATGATCATGATGAAATGTAGTGCAGTAATATATAACCCAAGATAGAAAAGATAGTAGAAAGGTACTAACCTGCTCACATCTGGGAACTTTATTGGAAAGTAAAGGACCTGGCATTTTGGCCTGATTAGCTTTTCCAGATGTCTAGGCCTGTGATCAGGAATCAGCTTCATAAATTTCCCAATTGATGTTAGAAAGGATTCCATATTGTAGATAGAGTTGAACACCACAAGGTCAGCAACCAAACTAATAAAAGAGAGAGAAAATGATCAACAATCAATAATACATAGAGGTTAATTAGTTTGGTGTAAAGCTGCTCTTTCACTAGGAATAAGATAAATCCCTCAGTTTGGGCCCATTCCCTAAAGCAGTAATGGCGAACCTTTTAGAGACCAAGTGTCCAAACTGCAATCCCAAACCCATATGCATCGTCGGGTGCCGGATGGGTGTGGCCCATTGGGTGGGTGTGGCCCATTGGGTGGGCATGGCTGCAGTGGTAACGGCAGACTGATTGGGACTAAAAAGTTCAATCAATCAATTTCAACTTTGCAAGATCTTTTTTTTTCCCTGCGAGAAGTTGAAATTGACTGATTGATTCAACCTTTTTTTTTTTTTTTTTTTTGCACATGGTGGTGGAGGCCTAAAGCGAAAAAGTTTTATAAAACCCAGCTGAAAGCCAAGGACTGGGGCGACGGCACGCGTGCCCACAGAGAGGGCTCTGAGTGCCGTCTCTGGCACCTGTGCCATAGGTTCGCCACCAATACCCTAAAGACTGTCATATTACGAAGTCTGGTTTCTCACTGCTGGTGAGACTGGGAAACCAGGATTCCTTAGAGATACCAGGTTTTTTCCTTCCTCCAAGTGATTTTGCTGTACACCCAGGTGATGTGTAATTCCCAGCAGCCAGAATTAATCACCTGACAGAGATGGCATATTACAGCTTCATCTTGTCCATGTTTCTCATGGTAAAGTGTAAATATTATGCCATGAAAGCTTTCATTAATTCTTGCATGGAAGGATTAATGAAAGAATACAAATGTGTTTCCCCTCTTCTGTGCAAGATGCTCTGGTTAGTCCATACCTAATATGTTCAGAATATCACATATATTTCTTGTCCATATGGAGTTCACTGTATCAACTTGTGACTTCAAACAAGGGACAGGATTTCAATTTAAGGATTCTCAAATGCAACTTTCCTAAGAAACAGTGTGAATTTACAGCAATCATAAATATCTCCAAGCTGAACAAAAATATATTTATATATATTTACTATATATACTATTTACTATGGATCTTTACATGAATTACTAACAAATTACTGATGGAGGAGGTGGTTACTTCTAGTCCTGTACTTCTGCCATTCTTTTCTCCACTTACACATTTCTTCCACATAGAGAGCTTTTAATATGTTGCTTTTAAAATCACAAAATTAGAATGGCTAGATAGTTTAGTGATAAGAGCAGTGCCTACAATGCGGGAGACCAGGGTTCAAATCCCAGCTGGCGTCTCCTTAACCTGTAGGGAGTCCTTGGGCAAAGATACTCCTAAAGCTTCAACTGCCTACCACAAATATAAAAGTGACCTGAACTGAAATAGTCATACTGATCTGGACATTGGCCAGGTTAAGAGGGTCCAGACCAAATGCTGGGGAACCAGAACAAATTGACATTAAGTGGGCTATTGGAACTAACTAACTAACATGGACAAGACAAGAGAACCTGGAGTTGATGGAATGCTAGTACCATAGTAGATCTAATGAGAAGGGATATACGAAATGTATGAGGGAACTGTGGATGCCAATAGAAGGAAATATTTACAGCGCAGAGTTGAACTCTGGGGTCCCTGGTGCTCTCTTAGCTTGACTGTTTTCTTGCAGATTTTTCATTAACAAACTAGGTAACATCATCAGCACTAGAAGGGAGGGCAGCTTGCTCTCTGTTGGTAACAGTGGTTTCCCTGTCAGTGTTGCTGGGAGTGTGGTTTTCCTCTTGGTAGTTCCTTGATTAGATTGCTGTTTACACAATAAATCACAGGCCCAGATGGAATTCCGGTTGAGTTTTACAAAAATACACAAGAATCACTACAATGGATAATGTTGGAGATGTATAATGAGGTGGTGGAGGAGGGGAAGATACCGACAACTTGGACTGAAGCAATCATCACTCGTATCACTAAGGAAGACTCAGACCTGCAACAAATTCAAAATTAGAGGCCGATTTCTCTACTGAATACAGACTATAAGACATTTGCAACAATAATAGCAGAAAGGATTAAAAAAAATTTGAATAATTACATCCACCCAGATCAAAATGGATTTCTACTAGGACGACAGATAAAAAATAATATGAGGATAATAATGAATACTTTAGAATTTTATGAAGTCCATCCTGAAAGACAAGCTACACTGGTTTTTCTTGATGCCCAGAAGGCATTTGATAATCTGAATTGGAAGTTTATTATAACACAATTGTACTATATGGATTTTGGGACAAAATTTGGAAAGATGGTTGAGAAAATATATACTAAACAAACAGCTAGGGTAATTATAAATGATGAAATGACAGAAAAAGTTGATATAATCAAAGGTGTAAGACAAGGATGCCCACTCTCCCCTTTTCTATTTATTTTATCATTAGAAATACTTCTGACAAAAATCAGAGAGGACCAAGAAATAAAGGGTTTAAAAATTAAGAAGGAAGAATATAAGGTCCAAGCCTTCACTGATAATTTGGTATTTATTTTGGAAAATCCATTAGAAACTGGCCTTAAATTGATTCAAAAAATAGAAGAATTTGGTGAGGTAGCTGGACTTAAGATTAATAAGAATAAATCCAAATTAATAACCAAAAATCTTACAAAGGCACAGAAAAGTGAACTGGAAGATAAAACAAAGATAAGTATAACTAAGAAAATAAAATATTTAGGGATCTGGCTTACAGCGAAGTGTTCTTTGATCAAGGAGGATAATTATGATAAAATATTACACCAGATAAAAAAAAGATTTAGAAAATAGGGAAAATCTACAAATTTCATTTTTAGGGAGGACCGTTACAGTCAAAATGAATATATTGCCAAAAATATTATTTCTGTTCCAAGTTATTCCAATAAAATTAGGGAAAACATTCTTTCAAGAATTAAATAAATTGGTCACTAAATTTATATGGCAAAGGAAAAAACCCAGGATTAAATTAAAATTCTTGCAAAATATGAAAGATAAAGGGGGATTGGCGTTATCAGAGTGGAAAACATACTACTAAGCATCGAGCCTAACTTGGCTAAAAGAATGGATGGAATTGAAAAATACCAGAGTTTTAACAATAGAAGGACATGACTTGCAAGCGGGTGGCATGAATTCCTATGGGACGAAAAATACAAAATACACAGATACTTTCAAAGACACATAGTTAGGAATGCATTGTTACAGACTTGGGAAAAAATAAAACAAAAGCATTATATAAGAATTCCAACGTGGTTATCCCCAACAGAAGCTCTGAAACACCCAAACCTACTGGATATAAATAAGATAATTAGATACAAGGAATTAGTAAATGAACAGGGAAATCTGAAAACAAAACAAGAATTGGAGCAAGATATAGGCAGAAAGATTGACTGGTGGACATTTTCACAAATTCAATCCAACTATACAGAGGACAAAAAAATTATATGAAATACAAAAAGAGCCGCAAGAATTGGATAAAATTATACATGGAACAGAAATAAAATTAATTAGCAATTTATACAAATACCTATTGAGATATAAAATGGAAGATGAGGTTGTCAAAGACACAATGATTAGATGGGCAAAAAAAAATTCAGATATAATATAGAATTGGAGAAATGGGAAAAAATAAGGGAAATAAACATAAAATTGACTATGTCAGCAGCATTCAAGGAAAACCAGTTGAAGATGTTTTACAGGTGGCATCTTCCACCAGCAAAGCTTGCCAATATGTTCCAGAACAATTCACCAACATGTTGGAAATGTAAAAAAGTACATGGAACATATTATCATTTATGGTGGACATGCCCAGTTGCGAAAAAATATTGGAGTAAAATAAGAAGATGGATCAAAGAAATAATAGACCAACCCGTAGACTGGAAACCAGAGATCTTTTTGCTGGGTATTTTAAACAGAAAATATAGTAAAGAAATACGGTATTTAATTCTACATATAATAACAGCAGCAAGAATAGCATACGCACAGTTCTGGAAAAATGAGAATATACCATCAGAGGAAGAAGTGATAAGGAAAATCCTGGACTGTGCTGAGATGAATAAATTAACAAAAGAGATAAAAGAAAAGGAAGACACAGAATATTATTTAATATGGAATAAGTAGTACGATTGGTTGGAGACTAGAAATAATAGAGGAAAATAAATGTGAAAAGGTCAAAAGTGGAAAATGTGTGTATAATAATGTATAGTAATAATAATATGTATTATTTTTAGTATGAAGTATAGTATGAAGGAAGAAAAATGCAAACAAGAAACAACGGGACAACAAGGACAAATATATCTAAAGAAGAATAAGGAGGGAAAATGTAAATGATAGATTACCGTTACGAAATTGCTGTTAAAAAAAAGGAGCACACACTGTGTGTGTATGTGTGTTATGTTATGTTTTGTCTTGTTTTGTTGGTTTAAAAAATAAAAATTAAAAAAAAAGATTGTTGTTTACAGTAAACATGAAAATCCAAAAAAGGAACTTATAACCAGCCCTCACACATTATCAAGATTCGGGCCCTTTACATCCAACAGGTATTTATGACCAACACAGTTCTGTAATCCTATGATGTGTAAGTCATGTGATTACCATTTGGATGCATCACAGTTTCTGACAAGCAATCAATGGGGAAGCTGGCAGTAAAACTGCAAGTTGCAGTCACCTGATTACTTGCTTAACAACCTGCAGTAACCACCGTGTTAAGACTTACAATGTTGCAAGTCCATCATGGTCTCATAATGCCTTGTTTAACAATTGCACTGGAGATGTTGGTCCCAGTTGTCATTTTTAAATGAGGACTATCTACTGGTATATTTACTAAATTGAGTTGAGCACGATTTTACATCATCTCCTATTTATTTTTAGACACAGTTTTAAGGCAAAGCAAATATTTCAAAACTGAAATATTTTATTAAAAAAAAGAATGGATACTGCAAAAAAAATTGGCTACATGGGATCATTGCTCATCTTTCAGTTGAGTTGCAAGGCAAAGATACAGATATTATACAGTATACCTAGCCTTAAAATGTTCAATCTACATTTACAATAATTCTCTTAATAAAAATGGGTTAAATAGAGCAAGAAGGTTATTGTGGGGAAAATAGCAGGAGGAAGGTATGTTGGATATGTTTTCTGCTTTGACTTGTTTGTGAATATAATAAAAGCAGGATATAAATGAATGCATGAATTTTATATTCAAGCAAATTTGGCTTTCCAATTTTAATTTGGGTGTCCAAAATTTTGCCTGATCATAAAGTTTTCCAGTGAAAATGTTATTACTTTATTTCATTAACTTATATATGTTTGTTTTAAAATAACAATATAAAGAATCACAGTGTTTTAAATGACTGGGTGTTTTATCACTGCACAAATTGTGAATACACAATGAAAGAAATGTAAGGATTTATCTGGTAGATTTACTACCTTCTTCCCCTAAATATCGCTGCTGGAGGGTATTTTAATTTCTGTTTGCTTCCTTGAACTATGCTATTTTAATTTCAGTTGTATGCAATAAAAACTATTGTTAAGCCAGTGTTGATTAACTGCCCCTTTGTTAAGTGCTTTCAAAGCAAAAGCATCTTGTCTGTATTACAAGGAAGCTACATACTGAAAATTAGTGCAATTTGTTGGAGTACAACATGATTCTCACAATAGCATCTAGGTATGCTTCCCTCTCTATGATCTGATTGTAGAAAGTAGATTCTCCTGATATTTTGATAATATATTGGTCCATTCCTCTTTATCTCCGTAATCCCTTGAAAAGGACTAGGATTCTATAAATGTTGAATGAAAGTGACTTAAAAGATAGAATAATTAAGCACAAGAGGGTACAAGATATACCTACCATGAAAGAATCTGGTTATATCCATATTGGAAGTCCCTTTCCTGACATTTCTGGACAGGATATGTCAATTGGTTCTCATGGAAGTAAAGGATCTTTTTCAATTTGCCAAGGTCAGGCCGAAGGGCGACCAGTTCAGTCAGGTTAAGCACTGAGCTTGCAAAGAGGATCCTAAGAAACAAGGAAAGTAGTGTTTACTGTCTACAAGCCTGTTCAAAAATGTCACCCTTCACTCTTTCCCTCCCACCCATCTCCCCACAAGAAAAACATAACCTCTATAAGGACACATCAGTGGCTAAGCCTTAATACCGTGTAGCAGCATTCTGGGTTTTGATCTCTTAAAAAAAAAACAAAAAACAAAAAAAAACAGCCAAGGATTCGAGTTAGAGAAGCTGGTTTTCTCAGCTCAGTTACAGAGAGATGCAAAATGAAAAAATAATAATAATAATGAAAGTAAAGAGCTGGATGGGTTTTATTGAAAAACGCAAGAAAAGCTATGTCTGAAGGACAAAAAGAACAAAGATAAGGCTGACTGGGGAATACTTTGTTTGCAGTTTCATTACACTTCACTTTTTCATGCAACCAACTACTAAAATTCAATATACAAGCAAGCGTGGCACATGTTCGTGTTATAACATAAAACCTTTTGATTTATGCAATAACTACTGTGGTTTTTATTTTTTTTATTGTTTTGTGTTCAGGTTTCCTTTTCCCCTTTTTTTATTAAATATCCTGCACAGCTCCCATCTATTATTATGAGATTATAAATAATAAGAAAGACAGTCCATAACCTTTTAAGAGATTCGCAGGGCTGCAAATACCACTAGTAAGGTTAAACTGACTGGTTGCAATAGAGTTTGAAATACATTCAGATATGTAACCTCTTATTTACTAATAGCTGGTTAATGCAAGTCTCTCCCAATAAATCCAAGGAATGGATATAATTTTGTTTCAGAGTTGGGCCTAAGCATAAGCAGAGGCAAGCTTTAAAAACAGAGCAAAAACAACAGTATCTAATTCACTTTCCGGTGAAAATTAGAACCCAAAAGATTCTTTTCCTGGTTAATATTTAAAAGCTACAATTTGTCTAGCTTTCTTTCCTTTACCACGATTAGGCACAAAGTGAAATTATATTAACCTTAGTTTCTGGCGGGAGAGCCTTACGCCACTTTCTTCTCCAATCTGTTTTTCTCATTTGGAAGAGAGCTGGATGGTGGCTTTGTATGATGAAGAAATCTAACAATGAATTTCCATCACCTAAGGAACTAAATCAAGGATGGAAAACTGCAGTACAACAACACCTCTTTTGCAGCTGACTGAGCCCCAAGCGCTCAATATTTTTGGCTCTGAATTTCGCTTTGCTTTGTTTTTTTTACAGGGTTTAGAAGGTTTCCAGAGGCAATCTCTGGAAACCAAAAACTCAGATGCAAAATTCCATTGCCCCCAAAATAGAAGAAAGGGACTCAGGCATACCAATTCTAATGATGCTCTTTCAACCACTGGCAAAAATAAAGAAAATGATGATTTTATTATGAAGAAAACAACAGCAAGGTAATTTTATCCTCTCACCCAGTCTACATGGGAGGTAAAGAGACAAAGTGACGTTGAGGATATTAGAAACATGTAATTTCTGCTGATATTTGAATGTCAATTAAAATGAACGGCTTGTCTCAGAGTAAGAAATGTAATAATTGTGTACGTGTATAAACATATGCACTGAAACAGACATACACCTAAAGCCACGAGAAAGCCCAGTTAGACAATCTTTCACAAACATGACATACTGCAATCACTGCATAAGCTGGATTAATACTTATTACTATGCTACTAGAGAATTAAGCTGTTTTTAGACTACCAAAGAGCTTTACATTGCAACTTTTGTCTCTGTAAAGGAAACCTATATTTAAATTGTCTGTTAAAGTTAAATTAAAACAGCCACATCATTAACAGGTTATCTTACAAAATAAGGGCACAGTAAAATTCTGTTAACATTATTCTTATCCAACCTGATCAATGCTGCGAAATAATGCAGTGCAGTTCTATATACCATACAACATTAGCAACACACACACACATTTATTAAATGTGCATCTGCTCTAAATAATAAAACCAAAATGATGCCCTTTTCTTCACAATGATGTAGTCAGCCACACAGTGCAACCATTATTTGTCTGTAATTGAAACAAACAAGAGTGGTCCAAACTCATATGCAAATGAATGAACTGCTTCAGACTTTTACATTCATTAGGCACATATGTAATACATTAGATACCCATAACCTATATAAGTATTCATCTGTCTTTGGTCTGCAGAAACGTCATCTTTAAAACAGATGGATGTTTATGCAAACTGATTTCCCATTTTGCCAATAGACCAGTAAAGGATGATGAGATACCTAAATATGTATTTTTATCACTGCTCCTCTCCCTCTGATTGCTTGAAGTGACTTTGGTTGCATATTTCCCACAATGATTTGGCTTGCTGGCATTAAGGAATTTGCTTTAAAAAAAATCACCTTTATTTTGACCACTAGAATGAATGAAAACAATAAACTAAGAAGATTCAATACAAACATGAGATTATTATTAGTGGGTAGTTTTTCCTAGCTGAATGTTTCTAAACCTAATTTGACAAAGTCTATGTTCACCAAAGATCCCATTTAATGTTTGTGAAATCCCTCTACACCCTCCTTACTAATGGACACATTAGCTGTTCATAGTTTATGTGGTTATGTAGATTGCAGTCCTATTAGGAGAAAAATACCCTTGCTTACTACTGGTAGTTACCTCTTCTTGGTTTTGGCTGCATTCAGCTCTTACACCTGTCTGCCAATTTCTAGCCTGGTGCTTTAACTGCTATTGGCTTCTAAGTTCCATTTTGTTAATTGAGATATGTAGATATGTGTTTGTTTGTATACTTGTATGTTTGTATGCTTTTGCTTAAGTGTGTGTGTGTGTGTGTATGTGTGTGTGTGTGTGTATATATATATATATATATATATATATATATATATATACACACACACAATATGTATGTATGTACACACACACACACACACACACACATATATATATACATATACACACGCACACACACACTGATATATATATGATGTGATATGCATAATATATCTCACAGCTAGTATTGTATTATTTGTGTATGACATATAAATGAAAATTCACCTTACTACTAAAGTAATTATATATTAATGTTCAATCAATGAGTTTTTGTACTGCATGAATGTATGGATGAATGCAAAAAACACAAGAAAAAGCCTTTTCATTTATGATTTAATAATAAAGGCCTTTAAAAATTCAAAAATAATATGGTCATAAATGATAATATATTAAAATCCATAATAAAGTAAATAAATAAATAAGGAGTAATTTATTCTTGACATGGCATGTATAAATGTCACAAAGATTTAGAAGATATAAACTAGTTTAGAAATCCCACTTTTATATGGAAAGTCATTTGAAATGTTTACAGAAATAATTAAGTCTTACCATTGTAATGTTCTTTATTTTTCAGAACAAGCCACAAGGGTTGTCATCCTTTTCATCTTAATTAGTCCATGTGTTTGTTATATTTGTTATGTACTTCCATAAACATTTACAAACATTAATTGTTATGAAAAAATATGTTTCCTCTCAATGTAATTACTATATGTACATAGTAATATATAACTAATAAATATCTAGGACTGCAAATCATTCATTTATTTTAGAATGTGAACTGAGTTCGTTTCTATCCAAAAAGCAATTTAATACATATTTGATTATATGAAAATGCCTGAATGCTTATTTTGCCAATTTTCTTTATATAAAGAGCCAGAACACGTTCAGCCACTTTCAATGGGCTGGTAATGTTTCGTCCTCTGAACCTTAGAGAAACAGAGGCTGCAAAGACTAAAACAAACGTTCTGCACCAGAAGCAAACTTGTCTTCCAAATTAGGTTTTTTCTTTTATTGTGATGTACATATTCTAGCGCACTTACATTAGGTCATTATTCAGGTAGTGAGGGAATCACATAGGCATCCTGCTTTTCAAGTATATTGGATAACACAAGAAGACTAAGAAGCTCCACTCAACTTTCTCTCATCTTTAGTATTTTTCCCTACAAGGACTGATAGATGAGCCACAATGTAGCTTTCTCTTTGTTCCATTATTTCAGAGAAACAATGATTTCCATATACTAAGGGAAGCTGGGTCCAAAGAGTAGAGTAGAGTAGAGTAGAGTAGAGTAGAGTAAAGCAGAGGAGAGCAGAGCAGAGCAGAGTAGAGTAGAGCAGAGTAGAACTAGAGTAGACTAGAGTACTTTACTTGGCCAAGTATGCTTAGAGACGTAAGAAATTTGTCTCCAGGGCAGAAGCTCTCAATGTACATGTAAAGCAACAGAATCATCACCATCATCACTGTCGTCATCATCATCATCATCTGAATCAGACGGGGGAGTAAAGAAGGATAAATGATAATACAGACATACTACATAGGTAAGTATACATAGACATTAGATGGCATTGTGAGAATTAGGTGTGCAGCAGATTAATGGTGCAGGGAAAAAAACCTGTCCTTCTGTCTGGGTTCTTTTGGCATTCAATACCTTGTAGAGCCATCCTGAGGAGAGGAGTTGAAACAGTTTAGGTGCCCAGCATAAGGAGTCTATAGATTAATATATACTGCTCTGCTCCCATCTCTGATATTTGCATCCATAGACATAAGTGATTCTAGCATTGAAAGCAGTGCACAGATATATTACGTATGCACAGCAAATAATTAAAGAAATGCAAGCGTATCGATTAGCTGCCCTGATCGGCAGATATTATTGCTGGTCAAAAAGTTCACAGATACCATGTGTGTAACTGTAAGCAAGTCAATTGCCTCTCAAAAACTGATCTCATGACCTTTATGAAGATTTGGCCTCCATGAGGGCAGTGTGACTGACTGCAGCAAACAATCTTCCTATGAAGAATTAAGCATGCAAAATTGTGCGCCAGGAGCTGCATTTTGATAATGTGCTTAGGATCACACACCGAAAGGTTTCCTGCAGTAGACCCTGTGTCATACTTGAGGCAACTGGTTCTTTACACATCTCCTCAGAGCGAAGAGCCTGTAATTCATAAGTGAACTAAGCATTTCTTTGCAACACTTGTATAAGACTTCCCAAATTC